AGCTGAAACATTGTAATAAATATATGACAAAGATGAGGACAATAGTCCTAATAATGTAAATAGTGTACATCTCAGAAATATAGACAGATACTGAAGGGTCAAACGTTGTAATAAATATGGCATAAAGATGAGGACAATAGTCCTAATAATGTAAATAGTGTACATAATACCTCATCTCAGAAATATAGACAGATACTGAAGGGCCGTAAACGTTGTAATAAATATGGCCAAAGATGAGGACAATAGTCTGAATAATGTAAATAGTGTACATAATACCTCATCTCAGAAATATAGACAGATACTGAAGGGGTCAAACGTTGTAATAAATATGGCGACAAAGATGAGGACAATAGTCCCAATAATGTAAATAGTGTACATCTCAGAAATATAGACAGATACTGAAGGGTCAAACGTTGTAATAAATATGGCGACAAAGATGAGGACAATAGTCTGAATAATGTAAATAGTGTACATAATACCTCATCTCAGAAATATAGACAGATACTGAAAGGCGAAACGTTGTAATAAATATGGCGACAAAGATGAGGACAATAGACCAAATAATGTAAATAGTGTCCATAATACCTCATTTCAGAAATATAGACAGATACTGAAGGGGTCAAACGTTGTAATAAATATGGCAACAAAGATGAGGACAATAGTCCGAATAATGTAAATAGTGTACATAATACTTCATCTCAGAAATATAGACAGATACTGAAGGACCAAAAACGTTGTAATAAATATGGCGACAAAGATGAGGACAATAGTCTGAATAATGTAAATAGTGTACATAATACCTCATCTCGGAAATATAGACAGATACTGAAGGGCCGAAACGTTGTAATAAATATGGCGACAAAGATGAGGACAATAGTCCGAATAATGTAAATAGTGTACATCTCAGAAATATAGACAGATACTGAAGGGCCGAAACGTTGTAATAAATATGGCGACAAAGATGAGGACAATAGTCTGAATAATGTAAATAGTGTACATAATACCTCATCTCAGAAATATAGACAGATACTGAAAGGTCAAACGTTGTAATAAATATGGCGACAAAGATGAGGACAATAGACCAAATAATGTAAATAGTGTCCATAATACCTCATCTCAGAAATATAGACAGATACTGAAAGGCCGAAACGTTGTAATAAATATGGCGACAAAGATGAGGACAATAGACCAAATAATGTAAATAGTGTCCATAATACCTCATTTCAGAAATATAGACAGATACTGAAGGGCGAACGTTGTAATAAATATGGCGACAAAGATGAGGACAATAGTCCGAATAATGTAAATAGTGTCCATAATACCTCATTTCAGAAATATAGACAGATACTGAAGGGCCGAAACGTTGTAATAAATATGGCGACAAAGATGAGGACAATAGTCTGAATAATGTAAATAGTGTACATAATACCTCATCTCAGAAATATAGACAGATACTGAAGGGGTCAAACGTTGTAATAAATATGGCGACAAAGATGAGGACAATAGTCCGAATAATGTAAATAGTGTACATAATACCTCATCTCATAAATATAGACAGATACTGAAGGGCCGAAACGTTGTAATAAATATGGCGACAAAGATGAGGACAATAGTCTGAATAATGTAAATAGTGTCCATAATACCTCATCTCAGAAATATAGACAGATACTGAAAGGCCGAAACGTTGTAATAAATATGGCGACAAAGATGAGGACAATAGACCAAATAATGTAAATAGTGTCCATAATACCTCATTTCAGAAATATAGACAGATACTGAAGGGCCGAAACGTTGTAATAAATATGGCGACAAAGATGAGGACAATAGTCCGAATAATGTAAATAGTGTCCATAATACCTCATTTCAGAAATATAGACAGATACTGAAGGGCCGAAACGTTGTAATAAATATGGCGACAAAGATGAGGACAATAGTCTGAATAATGTAAATAGTGTACATAATACCTCATCTCAGAAATATAGACAGATACTGAAGGGCCGAAACGTTGTAATAAATATGGCGACAAAGATGAGGACAATAGTCCGAATAATGTAAATAGTGTACATAATACCTCATCTCAGAAATATAGACAGATACTGAAGGGCCGAAACGTTGTAATAAATATGGCGACAAAGATGAGGACAATAGTCCGAATAATGTAAATAGTGTAGCACACTAATGGCTCAATAACCAGTTCTATGTGAAACAGTATTATTGCAAAATTGTTCATTGTCTGTGAGAGCAACAATATCAATGCCTTCGTGTGTAACTTGGTTTATTACCATTACCTTTCAACAAGCAGATCAAGTTGAGATAATATGGGTGTATCCACACTCCTGACACTAGCATCTCATAACATCATCGCCTACCAATCTGATGAAAAGGAAATTTACTTTACTGTTTGATTTGAGTAACAAAATTGGTTTGGGCTGATTTGTCAAATATCAAATTCAGATTCATAAATTGGCTCGTTATTTTTTAATTAAAAATGTGAAAGAGTTGTTTTCATCTTCCTCTTGAGTACAAATAACATTAATACAATTGCATAATGGAGCTGAAAATCATTCAGGGGTGCTCAGAGGCATGAATGCTCACAGAGCTCTATTGTGCAAGCCTACTGATAAGGTACTGTGATTATGATTAAGTTTCCTTAATCATAATCGCAGTAGCTTGTTAGTTGTCTTTAATGAAACATATCACAGTTGGCCATATAAAGAAAGTTTATATATATATATATATATATATATATATATATATATATATATATATATATATATATGACAGCCTGTCTAGAACAACCAGAAGTCAAATGGCAACAATTTAAAGAAAAGAGGAAAGAAAAAAGAAAAGGGTTAAGGAGTGAGTGTAAAGTGAAAGAAAACAATGAAAAAGAAAAATAATCACAACATTCTACACATACACACATCCGCACAGATGGGCACATGCACACACAAACACTATAGAAAAAAAAACCAAAAAAAAAACAAACTTGCACCAATGATAAGTGCATTTAAAAAAGAAGAATTGGGAAGTATAAACAAGTCAATTGCTGATACACACAGACAAGGGAACGGATGGGACCATCTATGAAACTCTGGAATCAGGATGCTGAAGGTAACATCAATCAGCTAAATGACAAATCTGTTATATATATATATAAATAAATAAGTGTGTATGTGTGTGTGTGTGTGTGTGTTGATGTCATGAGATACAGCATTAATAATGATATATAAAACTGGATGTTCACTTGTCTCTACTCTAAGTTTCATGGAATGACATCCACTCTTCAGGAGACTTGATTGTAAAAATTTTAAATCAATTCTCCTGAAAAGTGGATAAAATTAATGAAGAGATTCAGGGAAATAGAATTCTTCAATCAATACAAAACCAAAAAGGATCTCATGGTAAAGGATTGCATAATGAGGTTGTTGTATATACAGTAGGGGGAGCAATAAGTGTATATTATGAGAATATGTAGAATAAATGGCAGTTGACCCTAGACTTGAAGCTGTTATGATTGTAGTAATCAAGAAAGCATACTCTCAGGAGTGTTTCACAATACTGCAGTTCTGGGGAAAGAAGTTGTCTGAGTGGAACTTCCTCCTCATGAATTGAATACAAATGGAATGAGTGTGAGTAAACTTAGTGTAAATGCCATGGTGTGTCCACACTGTAAAAGTTCAGACTGTGTAACCAAGGAATGTAGCTCACTCAAACATCTGCCATGGAAATAGCAATGGAATAGTAAGAGGCTAGCAACATTGTCTGTGGGGAAAGTGGCTTTAGGGTGGAAAACAAGTCAACATACACAAAAATGGCTATTAGCATAGAAAGTGGGGCTGGTGCGTCGACTTCAAATGCCAGTCAAGGATGCTGCATTTGCTTCACACAAATACGCTTGCAAAAGTATGAATCCATCTCTTCTCCCCCCCCAGCTATAGGTTAAATAGCAAAGGAGACTGCACTCTCTAGCTTTGTATTTTGTATGTATATGTGTTCCCAAGATACAGCTTAAATGATACATAATCACTTAACCAAGTTAGGAGCATATTATAATGTGAACCCCTGCCAAGTGCAGTGCCAATTTCAATAAATTTAGGTATGGGATTTTTTTAGCTATTTTTCTAGCATTTTCAGTAGGAAATTCAGTATTTGTTCTTGATGCACATTCTTATATCAATCTGCATATATAAACAAACACTTGCATATCATATTCCAACTGTTATGTGTGTGAAATATAAACACTCATAATGTATTAAAACAACATTATTAAATAAATTTAAATATGAACAACGCAACACATTTATTAATTCACTACACTACATGAGAACCTTTTTTTATAAACAACTACTTGAAAGGTGAGGAGGTTATATGTGTCACATGACTTGATGATAATTAAATAAATAGATGCGAGCTGATTTGTTGCCTTATGTATTTGGAAATAATACAGAGAAGAAACAAGTATGTATAATGAAAAAATATACTTATTTTGAGACAGATACCTGTTTTAAACTATTATTCAAAATTTTCATGCAATGTGTTAACTATGAAGCCCAGAGGAACAATAAACCTTCTTTTATATCTTTAAATACAAATTAAAATGTGTAATTAAAATTGATAATATTGTTACCTCATCATTTTGTATCATGAACTGATTTTAAAAGAAAACCAATGGGTTTATGAATGGTTGGGTTAATTTTAAATGAATGCTCCAGGTTTTGAATCTATTGTTATTCAATTACTGATCTGGAGTACTACTGTATTTTTATTTTTTTATAAAGTAACAGCATCTAGAAGAGCATTCCAAAGTCAGTATTTGATGGTAAACTCTCTGCCAATCTAAAATCTTCCTCTTCAGAATTATTCCAAAGTGTTCAAAATGATTAAAATTGGCCATAGAAGCCAGCCACCTCATCAAAAACATTTATGAACCTTTCCCCCACCAATAACTTAACCCCAACATATCACATCCTTCACATTTTATAACAATTCAAGCTTACAGTCGTATCACATTGAAACACCTGGTCTCATACAATCTCTGAAGTTAAGCAATGTTGAGCCTGGTCAGTATCTAGATGGATGACTACTAGAGAATACCAGGTACTGTAAGCTCATATGTTCAGGTGATGTAATGGTTAACAACTAGGAAGAAAGTGTTCCAATTCCAGTCAAGTTCATTATATTCTCTATTTGCACAGATACCTTTGGGAGAGATATGAATCCTTATCTTCTAAAAAATTCTTCCAATCTAAAAAAATATTTTCTAGCTTTAAGTAACCTGTTTATGAGATGTAAGAAAATAAAGAAAAATATACCAATAAAGCTTGATTTAACAGTTTCTTTCCTCAATGGTACCTAGACTTTATGAATTTAAGTGCAGTATTGGATTGGCAGCTAGGTCTCATCATTTTACAGTTTAAATGGCGAGATGTAACAGTAAGTTCTAGGCTAACAGTTTCTTTTCTCCACACTTCTTGCTTGTGGATCTCTCTTGTGGCTTCATACTTTCTAGCCAACTTTAATCTGCAAAAAAAGTAAATGCAATGTTTATCTACTGTGTACCTGATTACTCTTTCCTCTTCCTGCTCATTATTAATGTTTCTATTTCTAATTCTGCTACACTGTGTGACCCTCGTGTTTTAGTGGCTTTACTGCCTTGCATGAGGGTGATATCGATTAAAAAAAAAGCTGTAAAGATGGTTTCCGCTAGTAGTCTCTTGGGTTTGGCTCTATCCATTTCCTTCCAGGGATAAAAATACTATGGGTGTGCAGTGAGGTTTGTCAATGCAAGTTCCCTAACTTGCATTTCTTTTTCCCAAGTCTTATATTTATCCATGTTTAAAATAGGTGGAGGAGTAAATTTGGGAGCCATTGTGTTGATCGATGTGCTATGCTAGCAATGTAAATTCAAATTGAATGAACTCGGACACGTAATGGAAAGAGAATATTTTAATCAAACTACTTTGTTCTCTATATGCATGCCACATCTAAAATGGCCACTCAGCCCCTTCCGATTGAAGAGTCACAAGGGGGGTAACTCATGAAGATTAACAGATAGTATGCCACTTAGAGTTTGGAAATTGTACTTTCATATAATCTTTTGCCTGTTTAATTAAATTTTTTTCATGGATGTTTTAAAAGTTCCTTTCCGCAATGGTAGCTAGACTATGAATTTAATCTAAGTACTGGATTGGCAGCTAGGTCTCATCATTTTACAATTTAAATGGCCAGATGTAACAGTAAGTTCTATGCTAATGGTTTCTTTTCTCACACTTCTTGCTTCCGGTTGAAAAATTGCTAAGGGAGTAACTTGTGAAAATTAACAGATAGTATGCCACTTAGAGTTTGGAAATTCAACCTTCATATATTCTTTTGCCTGTTTAATTCAATTTACTTCATGGATGTTTTAAAAGAGGCTGAGAAAACATTTTTGCATGCTTTGCTTCTTTATTTAGGATTTGATATCTTGGGTTTTTCAACACTTCCTCATTACAACAACACTTAAAAATTTCTTAACACTTACAGAATCTTATTTGACATGGGACACAGATTCAGAAGATAAAGTTCTCAACTTTCCCTTATCAGAATCCTACAGGATCTTTAACAAAATTCTCCTTAGTTCAGTGGGACCTGCCAATCATTTTAGCAATTTGCAGCATAGTTTTTACCGTTTTTCCTAAGCTCTGAACTTATATTAAGCATTCTTCTTTATCTTTAAAATAAACTTTATGACCAATTTTAAAGCTTCAAACTCACAATGTAGCTATTATTTCCTATTCCAATTATTAGTATATATTAGTATTCTATACATCAGTAATGCATGACATTTCAGAATCAGTGAGTGAAAATATTATAACTAATGAAAATCTTGGTAATCCATATGGATAATCCCAGGGAGGATGAAATCCGGTGAGCTCAATGTTAAATCAGAGTGGTTAATTTAATGAAAACAGACAACTTTAAGGGTCCATTGTTTATAATTTATTTCCCCAAGTAAAAAAATTTAAATTCATTTTTTCACCCTTGGGAGTGTGGTCTGATGAGCAAGGGAAAAAGAAATTCCCTGTGGAAATAAATTATAATTAATAGACCCTTAAAATTGTCTGTTTTCATTAAACATATATATATATATATATATATATATATATATATATATATATATATATATATATATATCTCTGTGTGTGTATCTGACAGAAATTATTAGGGCATTTGAATAATCATAATTAAATAATTCATCAAGTCTAGAAGAATCCTCAACAGAATGCAGAAAGCACTGGACGGCCGTTTCATCCTATTATGGGACTCATTAGCAGTGCACATCCACTCCCGAGAATCAAACCCAGGCTGTTACAATCTGACGCAAGCGTCATACCTGATGGACCAACTTCTTCGTTACCTCTTTGTCACCGAGACCCGTTGGTCCAGTGGTTATGATGATTGCATTGTAATGGTCCCGATTTGATTCTCGGTAGTGGATGCACACTGCTGAGGAGTCCCAAAACAGGATGAAACAGCCGTCCAGTGCTTTCTGCATTCTGTTGAGATGCATATTTTAAAAAATTATGTTTACATATATTGTTATATATGGGGTAAAATGTATGACAAAGTGAAAAGGTTTTCTTGTGATGTGTTTCATCCTTTATGACTTCATCAGACTAAATTTGTTATGTGGGTGCAACTACACATGCACATGAATGAGGGATACTGGGATTTTTTTGATTTTTTTAATCTAGCTTATTTCATTTAGATTCTTATTCTTTCCACCAGTTTTATTAATAGATATCCCACATTGTGATAATAGAAGTTCTGCCAGGAATGGTGAAATGTTGTAAGAGCCTGGATGCAAATTTACTGTAAAATGTCCTTGCAATCTAGACATTTAAAATTCCCAGCATCCCTCGTTCGTGCACATGTGTAGTCACACCAACATAATAAATTTAGTCTGATGAAGTTCTAAAGGATGAAACATCAAATTTTCCACTTTGTCATACATTTTCCCCAATATATATATATATATATATATATATGTGTGTGTATACATATATCCCCTTTTCTTACATATATAAGAGTGGTCTATTTTAAATATATTTAAAAGACCTTTTTAATGCCTATAACAAAATAACATTTTTTTTTTTTTTTTTATTTTAGTTACCCATTTACACCAGGTTTCATGCTGAACAATTTTTCTGGTGTATTCCTAATTATATCTCCAATTGTTTATGAAATATTGTGGATGACAATATATACATGTTCCTGAAAAAAATTATTTCAGTTGAGATCTTGGGGAGGAAAAGTGAGTTTGTAAACAGTGACTATTACTGCTGCTAATGCAAGATTCTTTGATAAAACAAATCGAGTTCTCCCAGTCATTACCATGTTTATCTAAAAATAAATACACTTAAATCCACCTTCATCCCTGCCATGCACTTAGGGGCAGATTCTCCAACTGATACCAAATCAGTTAGGTTCTGATCCTGACTTGAGACAATCAGATGTCTAGCCACACGAAATTGTAGCTATTTTTGTAGTGATTTTATAACATATTTATGTTATAATTTTAAATAAATAATTATATATATATATATATATATATATATATATATATATATATATATATATATATATTGAGAGAGAGAGAGAATGGTAAAGTAATGGATAGCATCTCAGGTTGAGGAATTGGAGAGATGAGTCAGAATTACAATCAAATTCATTACATTCACTTACGTGTACATGCTAATATCCTTGGCAGAGGTAAGAATTCATCTCTTACCCAGCTATGGGTAAATACCAGCACAGAGTCGGCCTTATAGCCTTGCTTGGCAACCAATCTAAGAGAAGAAAAACTTAATCCAAACCAGCCCAGAAAGTATTGGGCTTACACAGGAAACACCACTGCTGCTATAGCTACAGTTGATGTGGTACCCATAGAATCTTAAGGGGCTAATGGATTTGTGATCGTGATCTACATGGATATTTATTAATAAATAAATATACATTCCCTCCCAGTAGCACACCCGAGTTTCATGCACAACACTATCATCAGGTGCAGATTGTAAACTTACTATAATAAAAGTAAATAAATAAAAAGTAAGTGCATGTAATTATTATTTATTTATTTACATTTATTATTGTTTTTAAACCCACCCAGAAAATAATATGGGCTGCTCCACTATCATTATAGTCTGTTATATATATATATATTTAAAATATCTAAAATAGTCAGTTTTCAATCAGCACCTGAAGATCATGTTGTTCATAAAACTAAAGTTGTGCTACCAGTGGGGGGGGATGTATATTATTAATATATTGTTGTAACCTAGAAAAGTTTACTGAATGAGGAATAACCAAAACGAAGGTTGGAAATGAAATGTTAATCTTTATAACATCAACAAAATACAATACTCGCCAGCAGCGTGAAGTAGGTAAACCACTGCTAGTGGTGGACTACTTAGACAGCATATTACCCCCACTTACAATAGTGTCCAACGTATTTATGAATATTGGGACATACCTATTAGTGTTCATAGGTATGGTATGTAACATATACATTATTGCTTTGTTATTCTACATCAAGTACTATCTTATTAGCACCAGCACTCAATGTGCAATATTACATATATATTACATACATACATACATACATACATACAATTATACAAAATATACATACAAGAAGTTCCATGGATTAAATTTTATTATTAAACTAAATCTTTTCCTTAGTTTTTCCAGTCCTATTTTGATAATGCTCATGTGAAATGAGCAAAATGTCAAGAAAATAGTTTTAAGCTTCCTACTGGTTTTCACATATTCAATCTTACATACTTTGTTAGATTTTGTATCAATCATTTATCATTCTTTCTCCCCCTCACACACACACACATTAAAAAAAAAAAAAAAATAGAGAAGTGAGAAGCTTCGTTGTTTTAAAAGGCTGAAAGTTGAGCCAAGACTCTTATCCTAATTCAAACATGGAGAGAATCAACATTTTCAGAAAGTTTCTAACATCTTGCTGCCTTAATCGGTGCTAGCTTTAAAATCTGACAAATGACACCCAAGATAACGCTTTGATAAAGAAGGTTTGTGTCCCGTGAAAAACACGAGAGACCA